CTTCTGCCCGGCGCCCCCGTCCCGGAGGGAGTCCCGTGAGGGAGAGAGGAGGAGGGCGTTCCGCGAGGGGGGGCGGCGAGACGGGCGACCCCGGCCCCTCCCGTGGCGGATTTGGAGGGCCTCGGTGCTTACCTGCCCCCCCCCTTTATAAGGAGATCGCTCCGCCTCTTCAAGCGACCCCCCCCCCCGGCCGGTGCCCCTCCCTGAGGGCGTTCCGCGAGGGGGGGCGGCGAGACGGGCGACCCCGGCCCCTCCCGTGGCGGATTTGGAGGGCCTCGGTGCTTACCTGCCCCCCCCTTTATAAGGAGATCGCTCCGCCTCTTCAAGCGGCCCCCCCCCCGGCTGGTGCCTCTGCCTGGGTCTGAATGGGCACCTTGGGAGATTTTGGGGGAGTCCCCAGGGCGCCTTTTGGGAGAGGGGCTGCGGGGGGGGCATGGGGTGACCTGTCGCCTGGCCTGGCCAAGCTGCCCAGTAGTCCCAGAGCCCCCCCCCCAGAGGGAAGAGCTGGGTTGCTTTTTCTGAGTACAGTTATGTTGTGCCTTTCTTTAAAAAACAAGCCATGGGAAAGGTTGCCACAAGTCAGAACAGACTTGAGAGCGTGCAGTTAATGTGATGACTAATTTCTTAACATAATCTGACTTTATTTATCACATTACTTCTAGCCCATTTTTCAGCCATCTCTTATTCCAACCCCTGAGTTGACTCTCCCCTTTTGGGCTCCCTCCGCTGTGAGATGTTTCCTTCCTGTTCAGAACAGGTTTCTAGTCCATAAGGCTACCCTGCCTATTCCCTGCTGCACGCGCCTCAAAGGCTTTGAGGAGGAGGGATTTGGGCTTTGTGGTGGGGAGTGGTTTTTTTAAAAGCCTCTTTCGGGAAGTGCAAATCTAAGACGGTTAGGAACCCTTCACCTCAGCCCCCCTCTGCAAAGGGTGCAGGATTTCCTGCTGTGGATTTTCCTCCAGCAGAACTTGTGCTCCTGATTTTCTCTCTAAAGCCTTGTGCAATAATTTCTGTCGACAGGTCCGAAGCAAAGGTTAGGCTGTGTTAAGTGTTTTTGGACTTCCCCTGGATTGAGTTGCTGCTTCCTTTTTGGCCAAGCCGTCCAGTAGAGAAGGTCGGCTTCTGCTCCATCCTGCTCTTCCTTGGACTTACCTGAAGAACCAGCAGAAGCACACCAGTGCCTTCTGTGGGGAAGAGGAGTGAGGCCGAATGGTGGGACTAAGGCGCTGTGACCAGCTCCGGAGCAGCATGGCTAAGGAGAACGTAGTGGGGGGGGGGCGGCGGATCAATCAGGGGCCCATTCGCTCTCTTGGGGAGCTTTGCTCTTAGTGAACGGGGCCACCAGAGAGCACCCTTGTGGGGGGTTCAGTTTCCCCTGACAAGACGCCCTTCAGTCCCTCTTGTTCTCCTGGTCCCTGTGCTCTTTCTGCCTTCATCCTGTGGGACAGACGAGCTCAAGGATCCCCCAGACACACACACACACACCCAGGCTGCCCCTTATCCTCTGCTGATGTTTTGGCCTTGAGATGGAGTGATGGCTATTGGCCAAACATCACATCACTGTGCTGTTAGGCAAGCGGTGGGCGGCCGGGCGGGGGGGGGGGAGTGGACAGCCTGTTCCTACAGGGCCTCTGAAGCCAAACCAAAGCTGGTGGAAGAAGCTGCCTTTTTAAAGCCTGGCACTGAAAGGTTTGAGGGCCACGGGTGACGGAAGGGGAGCTGGTGGCAACCGGCTGAAATGACCTCAAATTTCAGGAGCGAAGGAGCGAATCTGATTTCCATGTGGAGGGGCCGTTGCCCTCCTGAGGGACTTGTGAAGGCACTCACCCTGCTGTCCCTAGAAGCAAGGGGCTGGCTTTCCTCTCCTTTGGCTGGTGGCCCTGGGCTTTCATGTGCTGGTGAGGGGTACCTGAGTTGTGTCTTCCTGCATGGAGGGGGAGTAGAGTGAAAAGGGGGCCGCAGCAGCAGCAGCGGCGTCAGAGGCCTTCCCTTGCAGTTTTTTGGGGCTGCTGCAGTGAGGGAGTGGCCAGAGAAAGGAGTCCTGCATGTCCCCGTGCAAGCGTGCAAGCAAGCAGATGTCTCCACCTGGCTCAGTGGGATTTCAAGGCCACAGAATTTTGACAAGAGAGCTTCCTGGCGAAGTCAGTTTCCCATTTCAGGGACTTGCCGGCCGGCCTTTTGTGTGAGAGGTTTTACTGGACACACAGGAGCATCTCCGTAGGAACACTTTCATGATGGCTGCTTCAGACATGTTTTCTGAGGGGTGGCTTCCCTCCAGGGCCAAGGGCTGTGCGTGCCTTCTCGGAAGGCCCTTGGTCTTCACCTCAAGTAGCAGCCAAGGGCTGCCAGGCTGTCAGGGACTCCTGGGAGGTCCTCCATCCAGCCTTCCTCTGGATGCCATGAGGAAGTAGCTGATGAAGCTCTTGAGGTTCAATTGTTGAAGGACCAGGAATCTCTCTAAAGAAGAACCTCGCCGTTTATGGTCCTTAATCTTCCAGGGAACTTCTGTCAACTCAGCAGGGAGGAGGGGATGGCGAAAAAGTGGGTTGATTTCTTCTGGCCAGACATTGCAGGATTTTAGTAAACCTTTACTACTCTATTTCGTCCGTTTGAAATAGGAACGGAAACGGGGAAACATCAGGGCTAGTGCTACAGGAGTCAGGAATATCAGAATGAGCTGCTTAGGTGACCTTTCTTTCTGCTTCCTCTCATTTTCTAACAGCTTTTTCACTAAAAGGCAGGCATATGTTTTTCTCTAGTCTACTGCTTGGTTTTCTTGCCGTCTTCTGTCTCCCTTCACATGTCCTTCAGCCCCTGACTTTGGCATCTTTCGTTCCTCCTGCCCTAAGTTCCTGCCTGACTTCAGGTTCTGTAACTTCCCTCCCTCCGTGACCTCATGCGCCCAGTGGGTGTTGCAGACGGGGGTGGGCGGGCAGGCGGCCGAGGGACACAGAAGAAACACCGGTCTTGCCTCCTTCAGGAGGGGCTGAGGGTTGGCTTTTGGGTTTCCTTGAACCTTTGCAGGGTTTTGGGGCCCGTGCAACTCGGCTCCTAGGTGCCGAATGATACTCATGTGTTGTCCTAAAGCAGCATCTGTGAGAGTCTGTCCCATGCACTTGGTGCAAATTTGATTTCCCTCCCTAAGAAATGGAGAAGCAATCATTTTGGAGTG